TAGAAGCACCATAATGTACAGTGTAATCCTCTTCATTGCATACTTTTTCCTCATACCCAGTGGTAGATACTGCTTTCCTTTTTTCAGAAGTTTTTATGAATTTGAAGATTGTTACATATTTGCATCTCACTTCAGTGTCATTGAACTTTGTCATTTGAACTGGTCTTTTGCAAGGGTCTGTAAGGATGCTTGCAAAATGACTGAATCCTTACAGAGCCATTCAGTTTCTGACTTCTGTTTTCACTGAAGATGACTAACTTATTCACATCCTCAAGGATGTGAATTTTTAATTTGAAGTGCAGTATATTTGATTTCTTGCTTGCTCTTACTCAAGGATCAGTGCTTTAGCCATCATCATGGTAGAGAGACTGACTGACATAAACCCACCTTATTCCATCCTTCTGATTGCACTACCTGTTTTAGCAAAGGAGAACTGCATGTAGCCTCTAGCTTGAAAACTGAGACAGCTGACACCTAAAAATTTAATTAATCCATCAGTATGCTACACAGAGCATTGTTAAAACTGATACTGGCTTAAAGTATACATCTATCAATAAATAACTTCAGTCGCTTGGTATCATTAGACTGAATTGTCACTCCAGTTGGTAGCCATGTATTTTTAACTAACCTTAACTTTCAGTTAAAGTTCAAGTAAAAGCTTATACTATAACTGATGACCTAGCAGAACAAACCTGGATGCAAAGCTAAAACTGGTAGAATGCAAACAATACCATCATCAAGGCTTTTGTTGTATTTTTGTTTTGTTTTGTTTTGTTTTTGTTTTTTTTTTTTTTGTTTTTTTTTTTTTGTCCATTCTCTGTCTTAAGGAACGATTATTAGTATATAGACCCGTAGTATATAGACCTGTGTGGTGCCAGGAGTTGGACTTGATGATCCTTATGGGTCCCTTCCAACTCGGGATATTCTATGATTCTATATTTAGCTAATAATAACTATATATAAGTAGATTAGCATAGCAGATTTTATTTTTGTCTTTTGAGTGAAGTAGAACTATGGAAAACCACTCAGGAGAGATGACACCTTTAAAAGCAGAACTGTGTTCAAGAACTTTCTTCTTGCTACTAACCATTTGTAAACCTCTCTTTATTTTCAGTGTGTGATTTCCTTGGGGAAAAGATTGCATCTGTTTTGGGGATAAGCACACCAAAATACCAATATGCCATTGATGAGTATTACAGAATGAAGAAAGAGGTATGTGTGAAATAGGGTTCTTACATTTTTTTCTCCCTACTTATCTTCCCTTGCATTTTCAAAAATAAAATTTGTATTCGTGAATTACTTACTAAAATGAAGTTAAATTTTAGAACCTCTTTCAGTTTTCCTTCAGTTTTCTTTTGATGCTTGATTTATGCTTGTTTATCCATTAGTATTTTCTCACCAGCTTATCTGTTGGGTCCTGAGCACTGCTCTACTTGCTTCTCTTCTACAAGGCATTTTAAAGTCCAGGGTGGGAGAAAGCTGGAAGGAGCAGTTCCTAAAGAGGCAGCTGCCTCACATTACTCACTTAAAGTGAATGTACTTTAAAACTCTGAAACTTGTCCCATTTCATGTGATAAGAAGTGCCAAAGGTAAATCATCATGTTACCATTTGTTCTGAACTGTAACTTCAAATGAATGATAGCCAGTGCTTTATGCAAAAATAAAAAAATACAAAAATTAGTAAATCTCATTTGGAAGAAATGTGAAACGTTTAAAGCTTTGATACTTTCTAGTAGCTTTTAATTATTAAGGGTTGAAAATGCTTTATAGGTGGACCTATCACTGCTACTTTTGATTAAAAACTGCTTATCTAGATGTCTTTTTTTTCTGTTGTTTATGTAACACACTTTAATCCATCACTTTGGGCTATTTCTAGAATTCCCATTATAGAGGAGAAAAAACAACAAACACCCAATCTTGTGATAAACTAGTGACTATTCTGTAGCAGAACAAATATTCTTTTCTTGTAATAGAACTGGTATGTTGTTACAGAACGTAAGTGGTGTTTATTTCAAGTAAACAGTAACTTACGAATCTGGTTACATATTTTCAGGAGGAAGAGGAGGAACAAGAAAACAAGTTATCAGAAGAAGCAGAAAGACAGCATCAGGAGCAGCAGAACAAGGCACAAGCTGAAGCTCCTGTCCAGACAGACCAGCCTGAATCAACAACATGTACTTCATTTGTGAATTTAAACTTTGAAAATGAGGGAGATAGCCACTCTGTTGTGGAAAATAAACAAGATGTAGTTACTGTCCCTACCTAAGTATAAAGCTCTGTATAATGTAGGAAATAGGAAGCGTCAGGTGTCACGATCTGGCTATAAGGAGGAAAAATAGGATTATACTTATTCAGTGTAATACAACTTACAGCATTCTTATTGATCAGGAGAGAGCTAGGTGATGTCTCTTCAGTCTGTCTGCCTAATAAAGGCTGAGGCATTCTGCCAAATTGGCACTTCAGTGAAAATGAAAATTGCACTACGAACATTTGGTCTAAAATTGAATTTCTGTGTAAAGCAAGTAAAAATGTCTTTCCTTTAAATTGCTGTCTGGCACAGTGGATTGCAGATGCAGTGCTGTTCCTCCTTGTGAACACCAATTTCTGATCTGCACGTTGTTTGCAACTTGGCTCTCTATGAATAGATTGATAGGAATCAATGTCCTGTAACTCACAAGTCATTATAATCGCTTCTGAATTCCCCTATTTATTGTCACTATGGTGTGCATGTATCTTTTTCCGTTACTAACACAAGAGAGGTTAGATTTAATGTTAATTAGATTTAAGGGCCTAATGGAACACTTTCCTTTTCTTTTTTTTTTTTTTTTTTTAACTCTAAAGGAGGCTGTAAACACCCTTAAGTATTTATGAACTAGTACGAGCACTTTTGGGGGCTAATAGTGCTCAGCTGCATCAGTGTAAGATGCTGTCACTCCAAATCCAAGAATTAACAGATTCTTTACCTGCTCTGAATTGGGCTGGGACGTAAACTGAAGTCTTGCTGAATTATAGCAATTACTGGACATCACGTATGGTACTAGTTTGTAACTACAAAAACTTTCTTAACATAAATTACTTGAGTTAGCGTACTTGATAAAACAAACAAACTGTTTAAGGTTAATGTTTATTTATAAGGAGCGGGCCACTGTAGGTATCTTTTCCCCTCTAGTGCAGAATATATATGTAACTGGAGATTAGAAAACCAGACTTTTATGACTTTTTTAAACATGAAAAGCATTTGTTTCCATATTGAAACAATATTCATTTTTGTTTAAGTGAAATGCAGGTGACTCCAGTTCATAACCAGCCCCAAATACCATTCACTTAAAAGAATTTTAGTGCAGTGACCACGATCCTGCTTCTACCCTGTTCAAGGTGAATGGTTTGCTTTGGGACAATCAGGTACTGCTCCTGCAGGCAGATAAACAAGCAACTGTGTGTGTCCCAGTCACTGTCTATGCAGAAAGTTTGTTGATAAATGAGTGGAAGACCTGTACTAGTTACTGTAGGGATTGTTGTTTTTGTCCTCAAGACTTCTAAAAATAAACCTGAAGAGGCTTCAGAGGAAGTTTACGCTGGGCATCATCACACTTGCCTGGCTTTGGTCCCACTACCAGCTACCTGAGGAGACTGCTGGAACAGCACAGGCCAGAAAGCTCAGCTCTTAGTTTGCAGAGCTCAAACAACTCTGCCTGAACTAGCATCCCATACAACTCAAACTCTCTCTTCTCATCTGCCCCTAGCATTCCAGCACTTCAGCAAATCTGAGTAAGATCCATTCATCAGCTCTGTTTGATCTGTTTTGATGCTCTGTTCTTTGCCTTTTTGAATTGTAATGCAGAGGGTGCTGACAGCTGTGCAAAGTCATGCCATAGCCCTGAACATCTGCAAAGGAGAGTATGGTTCTGTATTGTGTAGGGAATACAGAGAAAGAGAGATCATGTTGGGAGTTCTTGTACTATAGCAAAGATAAAAAGCAGCCCCTAGCTCAGGAGTACAAATTGTAGAGCTGAAGGATGCTTTGCTTTTCTGCGGAGAAAATGTCAGTTGTATTTTCTTTTTTCCCCAACTATCTGTTACATCAGAAATGCTCTCACTGCCTCGGGGTTAAACTTCTTTGTATAAAATGCTGTATTACTCACTGTGCCTTAACTTAATCCTTCCCGTCAGTTTTTTTGCAAACTGTATGAAAGTGGTTACTTTCATAGTGGTTTAATTTTTCTGTAAATGCATTAATTGGTTATTTTATATTTAATATGATTTTTGAACTGAAAATTGGCTGTGGCTTTTCCTTTGAGACTGTGTGTTCTTTGAAAGTTTATGCCTACACCCAGGAACACATGCTTGTTCACTTTGTATTTTTTGAGTCACATCCTAGTGGAAAATCCAGGCACTGAAATTCAGGACACACTGCCACCACTCCTTCCTTACAACCTTATGCAGTACTTGTTGATGTACTTGACAATTCAGCACTACCCAACCTAATGAATAGAGTAGGACTACAACCATCTCTGGCCTGCAACTATTCTAACTTTATCTGAAAGTTGGAACATTTACATGAAGTCATTAAATCAGTAAAACACTTATTCTTTAATTACATAGATGAGCTACAGCCGTAGTTAAGATAACCTCCTATGCAACTATTTTACATAATTTAAGTTGGTGAAAGCTTTTATACAGGTATTTGGATTAGTTTCAACCAGACCTACCGCTAGGGTGGTACCATTTCTGTCCAGGAACCTCTTCACAAGTAGATAAGCAAATAAATGTTGAACCAATTGAATAGTTACCCTTTCTGCCAGACAAAGATAGACATATAAATTAAGAAAAATGCCTAAGGTGTTTAGGTCTTGCTGAAGACCTTTGCCTTCACAGAAGGACATGTAATAGTGCTGTCATTACACGTAGCCACAAGGAACGCTGTGGGAAGCCCTGTGTGGGTACAGGGTGGTGCTGAGGATACCCAAGAAACACATTCTCACATACAGGATAAATTCACATTTTATATTAGAATTCTATATTAGAGCATTCAAATAATAAAAAAAGGCTTTGTGTTTAAGGAAAAAGTCCACAAATATTTATTTAAAAAAAGCACTACACACACACCAGATCATAGTTACCTCTTAAACGAGACTTGCTGGTTTGTTTTCAGGAATTAGTTCTGCAATTCCTCTGTACCACATTTTATATTATATGCTTGAGGGGGAATAAGGTGGGGAGGAGTAAAATGGAAGAGGCATTGATTCAAATAATGAATGTCTCCAGCTTCCAACAGTTAATGAATGCTTCAGTTAGAGATATCAATGGATACAGTCTACTCCTGTTCAAAGTCACGTATCATCAACGTCAGCAGTGCTGTCATTATCACTTGCCACAAGGACCTCTCTATTCTCGTATGTCCAGAACCCATTCAGATCAATTAGAATGCTGGTAACAGTGTCTCCTTGACTGCTATTGATTAAATCCTGAAGGGAGATTTTGTAAGGATCCTTAGGCTTTACCATATCAAAGATTTCATCCTGTAAAAGAAAAAAAAAGATGAAATTGGGGGGAAAAAAGCCCCCACACATTAATGAGTAGAATAACAGTGACGTTATATACTATATACAGAATGATCTTTGGATAACTAGTGCCATCCTCACCAGTTTACAAAACAAGTCTCTAATAATTTAAGATACAAAACATAATAGCAGCTACAGATAGGACCAGTGTGTTCAGCTCACAGATCTCAAATAAGAACTTGCTTTTCTGGGGAGGCTTTGGGCTCAAAGCAGCAACATGAAGCTCAGTTCATTTGTGTGAGTTAATTTTTATAGAAGCTTTCATACTTTTAGTGCTAGAACTGCTAGATGTTAGTAGGCAGCAGTGAGGAGAATTTTACTGACAGTTGGTTTTAGTGAACTTCACACCCTCCCCAGAGGGATGATGCTGAATTATGAAACAGATATATGAAATATATCTTTAAGGTAGAGCAGTACATATTAACAGCCAATGCATCTATTAAATATGGAAACAACTAGAACAGCTGAATACCAGATTTTTCTTACTAAGCAACTGCTGAACAGAAAGACATTTTCAAACCTGTAACAAATCAGATTCACCTCTGCTACTCTGCAAGTAAATATGCATCAACCTAGAAACTACAATATGATGCAAGTTATAAAATCTTTATTCAAATATTTCATGTAGTTCTCTACTGAAGAAAACTAACCTTCACATCCTGAAAAGAAACTGGTTCTTGTCCGTGGATTTTCATTTGTTCCTGAATGGCCTAAAATACAAAAGTTAGAAAAAGTAGTTCAGTATTATACTGACACTGTAGGAAACTGTTTTAAATGCTTCTCCATCTTAAGCTGTATTGCCTTGTGACATAGTATTAACAGCACAGCTCGCAACCAATTCTCTTCCACAGTGGTGAGTTACGACAACCAGTGATACACATCTCTGGGTGCACAGCTCTCAGTTAGTGTAACAAGAACCCAGTATTGTTATGACCAGCGTTTGAGCATTCTGCAAACAGGACATGCAGACCCTTGAATATCACTATTCACCACTCAAGATAGGAATACATTCAAACCAGAAGGTTCAGTTGTCCTACAAAGTGAGGAATACAGACTAGAGAAAGAGAAAAGGGGAAAGACCAGTCAGCAGACAGACAAAGCAGTGTGGCTACTGACTTGCAATTGCTTTGAAAATGGAACCTGTACTGGGATTGATCAAATAACATGCAGGTGATGGTGCATTTGCCTAGTTGAGCATTTGTCTGGGCATGGAAGGATTCTCCTGCTTCATGCTCTAAGTAGGCATTTCTGATCTGAAGTAAAATGGTATTCGCTATTATTAGCTCCGTTAATGCAAGACTACTTAGAGCTGCATCACCAAACCTCTGCCTGCAAATAATGACTGTGAGCAAAACCATTTGCTTCACAAGCACAAGCTGCACAGCCCTGCCAGGACAGCTGTATCACTATGGTCCAGATGCAGCCTGAGGCTCTCCAGGCTGTGACAGGCATTCACAAACCAGTGTGAACCCACCAGAGGGCCATCAGGATGCTCAGGTAGCCAAAGCAAGCACAGATGGGAAGAGAGGCTTGATAAGATGATCAATTAGCCTGGAGAACAGAAAGCCAAAGTAGAAATCTAGACATTTTAGATAGAAGTTAATGTAGAAATCTACATACTAGTTCAGCAACTTAGCAGGTGGTTAGAGAGGTGACACAGCCATGCTCCTCTTGGAGATGCACAGTACAAGGACAAGAGGAATGGACATTAAACTGTAGCAAGAGACATTTTGATTAGAGCAAGACAGGGGAAATGGTTAGGGGAGACGATATTCTCAGCAAGGTCAAGCACAGGAACAAAATGACCAAAAAGGCTACAGAGTCTCCATCATTGGAAATACTCCAAATTTGCCTGAATGAGGCCAGGAACAACTTACCCTCACTATGAAGCCAGAGCTGCTCTGAGCAGGTGATCCCAAAAGCTCTATTCCACCCTAAACTACTCTGATTCCAAAATGCTGAAAAAAGTTTTTACTTTTTTTAAGAAAAAAAAACCAACCTTTCCTTTTTTTAAGAAAGGCTTCAAGATAAGAATTTGTTTTTTGTTTATAAAATGATATGGTTATTGTCCCTACCAAAGTTTATTGCTATAAGCCTACGTATGAACATAAAGAAAGTAGGTAGCAGATGATGCCTTTGAGTAGGCCTGAACACTTAATGAGACAAGTGAAGTATGTACCTTGTTCTTCATACTTTGAGCACAGGGAAAAGTATGACATTTATTTTTAAAGTTATAATATGAAGACCCACATACAGAAAACTGAAGCATTTGTCCCTGTGTCTGAATAAATATCACCAAAAGGCGGCCTTGAACATGAACAAAAAGCATCACGCTCTCAACTCAGCCAAAACCAACCACAGCAAAAATGTAGTCCCAAGCTGAGAACCTACAAACAGAAATACTACTTTACTCTGACATTCCCCTTCCCAAGACACCCAAGGTATCAATTAGCAAAAGAACACCACAAACCAGAAAAAGAATCCCACCCCCAAAGCCATAATTCAAAGGGATACTTTACAGTCTTAGGTTAAGTTTAAAATCAACTCAAAAGAAATTATTTCAGACCCATTTGGGGGAAAAAAAGATACAAATACTAAGTATTAAATATGAGAAGCTTTTTGCACGGGGCACCCTGGATGAAAAACCCCACAGCTGTATGAACAGACCAGCACTGCATTTCAGTATTTACATTTCTTGTACTGTATTTGAAGATTACACTGAAACTAAAAGCATGAGCAATAACCAACTAGAACCATCATAAGAGATTTTAACAGGTAATAATTAGGTAATTTTAAGGACCCTTTTTGAAATCAATAGAAAACATTTGTCCTAAATGAAATCAAAACAGTTAATTTCAACTGCAGATAAAATGTTGAAATACCTTTTGAATTCTTTCCAAGTTTTGCAATTTTTTTTTTTTAATGTTTTAAATCTTCTTACAAGTAGTTACTAGCCTCCCAGTGGGTATTGGTAATTCAAAGTGATTCCCTGCAGATCTGCATGCAGAAGCACACAGGCTATAACACCATAAACACAGAAAATGGCCTACCTGTATAAAGAGACTTACCCTAAAGAAATAATTAAGGGAAAAGACATTCAGGTATCCTTTGTTCTCTATATCAAGCAGTTTGAAAATATATTGCAGAGCTGCAGGCTCCTTTCTGTTTTCTAATGCAAGTACAAAGTCCAGGTAGGTTTTATAGTCCTAAAAGTAGACACAATCACGTTTATTACAGTCTTCTTTCTAAATTGATTTTGCAAGCAGGAACATTATAATTGGCAGCTATTTCATTGTAGGGGATCAGTCTATTTTCTGAAAAAGACGACATGAAATAGAAAATGGCTGCTACCAGCCATGCAAACAGAAAAGTTAGTTTCTAGTGACTGCTGAGGATAAGAGATCCTGCCATTTTAGATGCAAAATAGAATTCCAAGCATAAATCCAAATTAAACAGACTCCATATACACTTTTAAACAATGCTCAGTAACTGATTAGGTATGCTCAGCAGCCTAAAGGTGTAAAAAAAAAAAAAGCTGTAATAAGTTGTCATAAGCATAAATTAGAGATATCCAGTAGTATTCCCACTGTTTTCAAGAGTAAACTACATGACCAATTAAAGTACTCAATTCTTAGACCAGAGTAGTAGTCTACAAACCATGTAGCAAACCATGTGGTTAAAGCATTAGAAAGCAAAGATTTGTGCATTTCTTCAGTATTCTTACTTTGTCCACTAGTACTGATTCTTGCTTTCCTGATTAACATACAGTTGTGACAACCAAGGGTCAAAATCCTACAGTCCTGTGAATGTAATAACCATGTCTACCATAAACACCAGCAGGTTCTGCTTCCAAGCAGAAGGACCTCAGACTGGAGAAATGAGAATCTCACTGATTTAAGAGGGAATGCAAAATCCTGCATCTAGGGAGGGAAAACCCCATTCCCCAGTACAGGCTGTGGGCTAACTAGAGGAAAGCAGCTTTACAGAGGAACAAGTCCAGCAAACCAGAGGCAACTAGGAGGTTCTCTCTCCCCTAACCTCTGTGATGCTGTGATTCTATGGATTCTAAGTCATCTGAATGCAGACATAAGTAGTGATGCATTAACTCAAACTTTCTGAATAAACATAGGGCTCAGGTTTTAACTGTAATTTAGTTAGATTTCACATTTCACAGCTATGTAAAGCCTACAACAACAACAAGAACCAATGCTATTAGCTAACCTGCACATTTCATCATGAAGGTAACTTGCAATAGTATGAAGTGTCTCTCTAAATAAACAATTAAAAAGCATGGCTATATCTATACATTTTTTCAACATGCACTTTGTATTATTTAATCTACAAGTGGTAGAGAAGCTCTATACTAGGTTATCTGGATTCCCTCACACCACTACTTCTCAAAGCAAGCAACTTGTCTTCCAACCAACCACACTGCAATCATCTTGATGTTAGAAAATTAATTTTCTAATCTGCTGCACTGTCATTTCTCTGAACTGTGAGAAAGATTACATCAGCCCAAGCTTTTTTTTTTTTCAAAGATACTGTTTATGAGACATTTTCCTTGTTGATAACAAAAAGCTTTTATCTTGTGAACAGAGTATAAGTATGCAATTACCATTTCTCCATCGTAAGTTAAGCACTCCTGAAAAACACGATCCAAAAATATGTTGGTTAGAGTCCCTGTTCCGTATCGGGACAGTTCTTCTTTGCTGAGCATGCCATTGTGATCTTTATCAAGGTTTAAGTACTGTCCTAGGGAAGAGACAGGAAAAAATACAGTATCCCTGTATCACCAACCAACTGTTTAAATGTAGAAAGGAAGTGTAGCTTAACACTAATTTAATTTTCATTATAAAATTAATGCAGTTAAGTGAGAATCTGCCAGATCCACAATAATATTCACAGAGCAACACAAGTGAGCACAACATTGGGGGGGCACAGACTGGGCCAACAGAGCTCCCATAAGGAGGCACTAACAGTTCCACTATAAGTTAACAGCTTAAAAGTAAAGGCTGTTTATACAAAGGTGTCAAAGACTGACAAGAACATGTTTGAAACAGATTTGCTGTAAATAAAAAAAGATCTAAAGTTGATACAAAAGCATGAACAGAACTGTCAAAAAAAGGTTACATAGGGACCTTGTACCTTATGCCAGAGGGAGCAGAAAATCACAGAGGATAAAACCAAAGTAAAGAGCAACGTTAGAGAACAGAAACCATAAAGTCAGGAGGATACACTGAAAGGATGGCTAAAGGAGTTGAAAAGACAAGTTATTGGGAGGATTTAAAGAGAAAAAAATAACAGGAAAAATAACAATAGGAATTTGACTAAGTCATACAAGGTAGAGGGGAAAAAAAAGTGTTCACATATAAAAGGAACCTACCATAAACTCTTAATGCAGAAGGAGCAGAAAACCAATTTGTTTCCTGACTTTCTTTAGAGAGTTCTTCATCCCTTAACTAAGTGAAATATAAAGTTAGAATTCAGAAATAGTAAACTAAAATACAGTAGTATATGTTAATCGATCTTTACCTCCAGTAAGTCATCCAGGAAGCTGCAAGCTAAAATATCCTGTATCTTTATCTTCCCTGCAGCAAGAAAAGGAAAATGCATTTTAACAGTCACCTAGCCAACACATACATTTGGTTGTTCTCATTTACCTGGTTCTCAGCACAAAAGAGTCTTTTTTTTTGAAGTACCAAAAAATATAAATTCTTACATCACAGATAATGCAGTCATTTAAATGATAAAATAAAAGTGGCTTTTCAAATGATGGAACAAAACTAATCTGATATTGGTAGGAGTTAGGCTGCCACTCCAAAAGCTAGAAAACTAAAAATATAAATATTCAACCCAAAGTGTAACAAAAAAAATACAAAGAAAGCATATGCTTAGAATGTTATTAGAAAAACACTGACTCTGAAGTGATGTGATTATTTTTACATCTTCAGACCTGACAAAAACTTCTGCCAATGAAGGTTTTACCTGTGGGCAGACGCTGCATAAATAGCTGTGCAGAACGACAACATTGTAGTTTCACATACACCCTCTCCACATGCTTGTTATTACCTCTGCTAGAGGGTACTGCCCACACTATGTTGACATCTCCAAGTGGCACAACAAAATCTTGATAACGCATGGTTTGTGACTTAATGATGGGGGGGGAAAAAATCAAACTCTTGTCTGAGTAAGCTACAGCTGTAACAAGAGAATTAACAGCTGTAATTGCAAACCTCTTCTAGTGAGCTTATATGGTGCGCTCAAGTTTAAACACAAGAGAAGTACATCACAATAAGCATTCTTGAGCATTTCCTCAGCCCTGTGGATGTTCTGCCCCACAGTTCATAGTTACCTGTTGCTGTGTTTTCTACACGTTTTAAATACTTTTAAAATTGGCTACTGCTAATGATGCATTATAATGAAACAATTGTCTTATCTGCTAATTTCAGTATCTCTGTACTACTTCAGCTGATGGATACCTCACTACAACTCATTAGCAGTGCAAGCAGACAACCCAACCCACAGGAAGACTCATGGTCTTCAGGGGAGATGAATATCCAAATACAATACTGCTGAATGGAACCTTACAAGTACAATTATATGTTATTTTGAAGGCACAAGTAGCTTTGGTAGATACATTTTAAAAGTGAAAATATTCCCACATATTTAGACTTTGAAAAACACAGACCTACCTGTTCTGAGAGGATCCAGAAAGAAGAAGAACTTTCTAACTGCTGTGCAGACATAAAAAGAATAAAAAGATTTTTCTAAGCCATCCAGCTGTGGCAAAGTAGGGATGAGTTCCAAAATATAGTTTTCTAAATCCTGCAGAATTAAGAAAAGAGCACACACACAGAAGCTTTAAACACTACTATTGTTTAAAGCATATTCGTTTGCTACACTCCACCCTGTCACATACACTTAATTAAAAATACAACCCAGAAACAACGCAGGAAAGAACATAAATGCAGGCAGAAGAGCTAGTATCAGTGCACAAGAAATCCTAGGTCTGATGCGTAACATGTATGTGTGGTGCAATGACTGAAATGGTCTGCAAATAAAGCAGAAGGTTACAAATTAGATCTCACCACCGGATTTCTAGTATACAGATTGATATTTATCTTAACAAGTGTGCCCTCCCCAAATCTAGATTATTACGTTCTTTTGATGCTCTATCACATGAGTTACATAAACCAAGAATGTACTTACCGATTCTCTGAGGTAACCCTGTCCTGCCACATCATATAAACTGAGACCAATTCTTGTCTGATGAAGCCACACTGCAAAACAGAAAACAATGTAGTGTAAAGACCTGGAGAGTTTTTTTTTGAAGCCTCACCAGAATTTGAAGTTATTAATGCAGAACTGTTAGATATTAATGTCCATATTTCCTGTTTTTCAGAGATTTAAGCAGGTAGGTACCAACCCTGCTAAGAAAGCCTGGTTTGGTCTCCAAACTGCTAAGAGTCACTAGTGATGTGTTGTACGCTGTGGCCAAGACTGCCCTGTAATAACCAGCTGTGAGAAATGGCTGAGCAAGTACCACATTTCATCTGGTATGTTGAATCATATGGATTTGTTCTCACTGAACTACTCCTACAGCATTAAAAACAGCTGTACAACACGGCATACAGGTTGCTTGTTAGATTGCTGCAGCCCCTCACACAGCATGAGGCATTGCAGCTACACCCAACCGTCCCAACCTCACTTCTGAGTTCCAACAGTAGAATTAAATTAGCACAAGCATCTATTTGAGATCCAGTGCATCAATCAGATAAATTACAGGACAATGTGCTTAATGGCAGAAATACCCAGAGTTGCAGGAGTTAAGTCAGGAAACCTTTAAGGTCACAACTTGAAGAGCAGAATTTTCCAGATGCACTGCCATTGTTAAAGCACAGTAATGGAGATGGACCACAGATCAGACAGAAAACTTATCCACACACTCTGCTAAATCTAACTTGCATTTTATGAAGAAGCAGTTTACAAGCTCCTCTTACAAAGCATGACCCATACTTCGTACCAACATTCTTCTCTTCAGGGTTAAGTGCTTGGCAAGGTGGACCAAGTACCACTCAGAGATGCCAGAGGTTGGCTGGCTGAAGCTTACAGGTAAGTGCATCACACTCCCTGAAGTGATTCAAGACACTGTACCAGGCTTGACTTGTGCAACAAAGCCAACAAACTCAACCACTGTTTCTCCTGAAGGATTGTTTCTGGAGTTAGACAGTGCTTTGGGAAATGCTTCACTATTATTCAGTCATTAACTTTGCTGTTAATTAACAGTAAAGTAATTCAGTCATTAACTTTGCAGCCTAGCTGCACAGCCCCTGTCAGAACCAGGTGGGCTGTGGGACTGCACTGCTCCAAGGCAGCTGTGGGGTAACTCCCCTCATCTGTTGCTTCTCCCTACCCTGTCTTTTCACTGCCATGCCTGAGGATCCTTAGCAGTAAGTAAGGATGGAAACAACTAATTCCAATCTACAATATTAACTAGAAGCTCCTAAAAGAAAGGAAGAAAAGATTTAAATTCAAGACCTAGCCTGGTCTTTAAAGCTCATAAGAAATGCTGTCCAACAGACTGCATAATGATCTCAGTTACTGCACAGATGTGCTACTGGGCTGATTTTGTTGCAGAATTACAGTGCTGAAAGTAAACAGAAAGAAGGATCTTTGTGGAACTGTCCCAGGAGGGGCAAACACTGTGATGGGACTTGTGTTGGACAGGGACTGACAACACAATCATATTGAGATGGGACACACTGAAAGGCAGAAAGCTTCCTGTGTCTAAGTGTTTGTGTTGTTTTACGGGGTGGGAGGCAGGTATTAAGTCTTGTGTGTTTATGGCAAACTTTCTGTGAAACAACTGAAAACTGAAATGGAGAGCTGTAGATCTGTTCTGTCTTTCCCTGTAGGCCTTTTTGAAAAGTGCACAATTTCCTGACTTCACAGAAAGTCTTTGTCCTGTAGCTTTTGTGTTTGCCATTTGCTGTCAACAGATGCACTACTCCCTTCTTACTTTGCACTTCTGCTTACCAGATTTCCTGCTTAACACATTTCTCATCCTTTGCACCTCATGAATTTAAGTTAAACAAGCTGAGCTGGTCCAGAGAACAACGCCATTCTTCCCTCCTGAAGTCTCTACCAGACCCAAGAAAGCACAGTGGATGAGGCAATGTTTCCTTTGTGCTACCCAGTCTCATCTTGTTAACAAGATCTAAATACATATAAAATTCATATGTATTTTTTTCAGCACCAAAAGGCTATTATAATCCAAAATAGCTGATGATAATAGCAAGGCTATATTGACATGGACAAGAACACATTTACATATTGGGCAAGCACAGTCAGAAGACATAGCTAATGCTCTGTAGAAGGGGAAACAGCTGGTAGACAAAGCTGTCTGCTAGACAGTCTCATCCCGGAGGTTACATCACACTGGCCACATAAGTTAATTGTTTTATTCTTCTCAATACTGCCCAAATAAAGGAAATTAGACTGATAGTATATACAATAAACAGACTGGTGATCTTGCTGGCTGGTGGACTTCAAAGGTATAGTGAGCTTTCAGATCCCAGTAACAAAAACTCCTCAAACCTCCATGAGAACAGCATTAGCAATCAAGAGGTAGACCTCACTGTTTTTGGGGAAGACAGCGAGTAATTAATAGAGCTTAAAATAGCATTGAAAATAAAACAGCTTCTCACAAAAAAGGGGAAACATCAACTAACCTTTTCGCATGACGTAATTGAAAAACTGCATGATGGATATCCTTCCGTAAGGATCGTTATGGAGTAATTTAGCAAAGATCTTGGCTGTGAAGAACTGCCTGTAGAACACAAACACAAAGCTACATCTGTGCATCTAATTACACTGTACTGATAGATGCAGTTCCATACCCAGAACTCAGACACTTTAAAGACTTTTAACAACACAGAACGTGTTCTGTGTCTTCAAATACATTGAATTACTATGCTACAGCCAACAAGTGTAGAGTGCATTCATAGCAGGTACACACTTAGTTGGGAACCTCCCAAGTAACAATGGTAAACTCAGTAAAAAGCAGCAGCTTTCACTGCTCATACATGTGATACTCTTTAATGCGAGAATTTAAAGAGTTTTTCTCCAATTTAATTTCTCTTTAGTGCAATATATTTGGCAGCTCCCAACCTTCTACAGCATACGTGTAACCATAATAAAAGGAACTGCTGGTACTGCCAACTGATCTGCTTCTGCATAAAATTCAAGTCACACAGTCACAAAGCTACACACACAACACAGCTGTGTATGACACTCATCTCCCATAGGAACATAAAGCAATATTCATTTAATGACATACACAGAAATTTGGTAGGAAAGGTTCCATCAAAAGATATTACAGAATGCTAGGCAGTATTGCTAGACATGATTTCCTCTCCAAGTAGGAAATGAGCAGTTTATTGTCCACACTAACATCATAAACATACTATGATGAGAATTTCTTCAAAAGAACACTGTATTCTCTTTTGCAAAGAACTCTATCAAAAGAGACTGCAGAGATGCAGGCAATACACCTTTGCAAGGATGTAAAGCATTATGTTCAGCAATAACCTCATGAATGTTATTTCTCTCACCATTAAACTGTCTCTATTTATTTGAGCAGGTAAAAGCTACAGCACCATTTAAACTTGGCCACAGTAAGCATATACAGGAGAAGAAAGCCTTACTTGCATTTAGGTCCAGCTTTTTCACCAACTTTCAAGAAGTTCTCATAATTGATCATTGCTTCTTCCCCAATCATCGGTGATGTCTGATGTTTGTCCAGTAGAAACCAGAGATTCTTGAAAGGCATTTATATATTTGGTTAAGTAAACATCACTCTGTATACATCAATGTGCGTAAGACAGAGCATCTAAAAAGTGCAGCGAAAATGCATTTTTACTCCAAGGCTATCTCAGGTAATTGGTACACATCACTTCAGCCAGGAAAGCAAGCAAGCAGTACTTCCACTGCTCTAAACTGGCATTATACACACACCCAACTAGGATACACTCAGCTGTCTTTGGAGTCTCTCAGTGATATGTAAACACTTATTACTTCTGGGCCCACTAGGAAATTGACAGAATGTGCTGGAGAACTAGAAGCTATTGATTTAATCCTCATGTACATCATGAGGAAGTCTTACCAGCCAAAGACTTTTCAGCACTTTAGTTTTATCTAGGACTTCACAATAAGCCAACGTGCCCAAATACAAAGCACCTTACTGGCCACACAAGATTCTGTGGACTGATGACTGAAGCTCGAACTGTGCAGAGAAAGGAAGTTTGTCAGAAGTCATTACAAGATGTACAGAAAATATGTTCTTACCTGCAGCTCTTCATTATCCAACAGCTCTCTGCTTTTTCTTTGCAGGAAGACAGCTCTAGATTCTTCTCTTAATTTCTGAAGCAAGACTTCATCTTCAGCTGGCAGCTAGAAGCATTGTAATGTTTCAGTTTTCTGTACAGTGATACCATTCAAAAACTACACAGCAAGTGAGTACTCTTAGGTAACCCTGACTCACACCCTCAGAGGAAGCTGTTTACTCAACAGAAAATACCATACTATCAACCAGAATGCTGTGTGGTACCTGCTTCTTCTACAGGTGTACTTTACATTTGCATACTGTCTCAAATTATTTCATTACTGAAATACTTATTTAAAGCGGGACATTGACATGAGAGACAGGGAGACCTACCACATACCTGGTAACTTACCTGAGAAGCATTTTCCCACTGGTGCAAGATAGGCTACACATGAGACATTTACTAGTGTGTTTTTAGCCAGGAGAGAGCAGCACTTTCCGTTTCATGGTAGGCCTGACTCTCACATGCATACATGTCTATGAGGTGTGCTTTGGTCAGCAAAACAGATGGGAGAATGCTTTGTATGAAAATTCTACCAACATCTGCACACAAAACTGTACCATTACTATCAGGACTTGGATGTTTGCATGTATAGTCAGCAACTGAAACCAAAGTACTTGAGAACTTTATTGGCAGTAACCCACAATCCTAGGGAATATGGGACAATGGAAGGTGAGACAGCAGTGAACAGTCAAGCTGATAAATGTCAGCGCTGTGAAGGTGTCAAACTTCTGTTTTCATAGTCCTACAAAGCTACCTGAGGTATGCCACAGTTAAGTTGCCTGACCAAGCATTTCTGGCAGATGCAAGCAAGAGTCCCATCTGCAGTCTGCAGGACTAAGGACCCATCCTTTTCACAAAGTAGCAGACTACGGTGTTTGAACAGAAACAGGAAAATGCTTGTTTGTAACACCTGTATGTCAAAACTTAGTTAACAGGGAAGAACCTCTGAAAGAGAAGCAGGACTTGTTACCTTCAGGAAACCCCCAAGCACCAAACTATTCCATGGCCTTCACAAGATGCTCGGTAGTTATTTGAAACTGCTGAAGTTCTTAATTATACAGAGACAGGACATCCACACCTTTCAGATCTCAAGATATTTCGGTTTCTGTGGTTGAAACACCTCTGAATAAGCACCAGTACCTTACAGCACAACGTAACTTCTGGTTGAGCTGCGCGCCGCACTCACCCTGTAGTAGAAGCGGGGGATGTTGCTGTAGGAGGGGTTGCCGCCGGCCCTGCCGCCCTTCCACTGCGCGTAGTACTGCGTGAACAGCTCCATCTCCTCCTCCTTCAGCTCCTGCTCGCTCCGGGAGGCTGCGCGACACAGAGAGCAGGGCCCGCGCTGGGCTGCAAAGCTCCGGCCAGCCTCAGCGGGGAGACAGGGCCCGGCTGAGGGCTTCCAGGAGGATGAAGATGAGGAAGATGAAGACGATGCCTGCCCCCCCCCCCCCCCCCACTCACGGAGGCTGCGGGCGGCCAGGCGGCCCCTCAGGCTCCGCGCCCAGTCCATGGCTCCTCATGCGCGGCGCATGCGCCCTGCGCCCACCCGACGCGCCGGGCACTCCGGGCGCCGCGCCCTCAACCAACATGGCGGAACGGGCCGCTGCTAGCGTGCGCGGTTATAAAGCGCCACGAGCTACACGTGATGCCCTCCGCGGGATGTGATTGGCTGTGAGCCCGGCGGGCGCGCCCAGTTACACTTCCGGGTGAGAGGGGCCGTGCGGTGCCCTGTCCGCCGCGCGGCCGCCTCCGCTCCACGCCGCGGGCAGGCGGCGGGCCCGCAGCGAGCCTCCCGCGGCACCGGGGCGCCCGCGGCCGCCGCGCACCGAGCGAGGTGAGCGAGCCCCGCAGGGGGAGAGCGGAACGCGCGCAGCAGCCGCGCTCCTCAGCGCTCCGGCGCGGAAACGCGGGGAAAAGCGGGGGGAGACTACATTTCCCAGCAGGCAGCGCGCCGCCGCCGGGCCGCGTGGCACGCTGGGAGTTGTAGTTCTAGAGGAGCTGATGGCCCTTCCCCCCGCAGGCTGCCGGCACCCCCAGCTCCCCGCGCCGTGAGCCGATGGCGGTACCGCCCGTGATGGCGCTCCTCTCTCGAGCCAGGCACCAGGGGATGCAGGGGGTGCTGTGGAGGTGCCGTGCGCTCTGGCCCGTTCCGAGGGGTCAGCAGCTGCTCGCTGTCGCTTTCGGCAGCCCCAGCTGGGAAAAAGTTGGCGGTGTCAGTTCGGTGACCTCCTCCAGCACGGCTCTACCCGCAGGTCCCAGAGGAGCCGATGCCTTTCCTGCCAAGAAAAGGCCTGAAGTTGTGTATGAAGAAGAAAAAGGATGGGATGAGGAGAATAAAGAAATACCTGAAGAGAAACTCCGCCTCCCTTCCTCTGCGGGAGCCCCCAAGAAACGGCTAAGTCCCATTGCGTTGAGGCATAAGTTTGCTAACGTGCAGCCTCCAGAAAAACCTTTACAGACTGAGGAATGGAACAGGCTGAGGGAAAGCTTTCAGGCACCCGAAATGTTCGAAGAAGTGATGTTTAACAGTATGATCAGGTACAACAGCTCCATCGACGTGGCTAAGTCCTTGCTGACTCACGTGGCAAAAAGTAACGGTGACATTGGATACAACTTGTTGGTCAAATACCTGGCACTGTGTGTCCAGCAAGGGAAGACTTCAGAGATTTGTGACGTGTATGATATATTGAAAATGAGATTTAAAACTTTAGAAAGTGGGGCTTACAATCTTATTGTCAGGGGGCTGAGTAATTCAGATCAGTGGAGAAAGGCATTGACTCTCTTGGAAGAAATAAAAAAGGCTATGATTCCTTCACGAACAAACTATGAGTCCTGTATCAAAGCGGCCTGCCGTCACCAAGAAATGACCCTCGCATGCGAACTTTACCATGAAATGTTGACTAAAGACTTGGTGCCAACGCTGGATATCCTGCAGACCTTTTTTGACTACAGCAGGGGTATGAAAGATCCTGAATTACAAAAAGAGCTGTTTGGTATCCTCTTATATTTCAGAGAGAACCAAATATATCCTCACAAAACACTTATGCGGAGTATAAAGCTGTGGTTTGAAAGGTAAATAATGTTCCAATAGCAAGCTCCAGTTCATGAAGGTGGGATTCTGATTATTCCACACATCAAATCTAATAAGATCCCTTAACATACTGTTTATGCTGATGGCTGAAAATAAATAAGCACTTGACACAGAGTCCCCAAACAGAAATAGAATCTGCCAACTTCTAGCACCATTAGCCTCGCAAAAACAATGCAGATTGGGAAGCAACTTCTGCTGACAGAGGGAACTGACGGTACAGTAAGCACAGAAGTGAGGTCTGTGAGTGTAACTGAATAGGTGTTCTTTTAAATAATGTTTGTTTCTTTTTCCAAAGAGCAGGTTAGCACTGGCTTTTACTAGTGAATAAAGCCAGATCCAATACAGAGATCTGAGTATACAACAAAGAATCCGTTTTTTTGGTTGCCTCTTGTCTTTGTAAAACAAACATTAAAGAACCTCTGTGCATCATTGTGTGCAATAGGAAAGGAGGGGAGAAAGGGGATGACTATCCCTAAGCCCATGGCATGTGTAATTGTGCACATAATAAATGCAGTGGCAAAGGGAGAGAAGTCTGCCATTTTGTGTTGTCACGTGTATTATTCTGGTTTGGGTCTTGTGGGCAAAAAGGACTTCACGTGAGTGTGGTGGCACCACTAGTAGCACTGATGATGTAGTGACAAAGTCTCAGTACAGGATTTTGGGATAAGCACCATTACACATGGAGTAGCTTTCTGAATCTCTCAGGATGACATGCACGGAGTTCTTGAGTCCTGCTTTCCCATCTGCTTTCCGAAGTGCTTTATGAATGGGTCAGGCAGCAGCTTGAAATTGACCATGCAATCTGGTTCTTTATACAGTTCTTAATATTTGGTTACAAAGTAAACTGGAGAGATCAGTGCTAGTTCTCTGCATGTTGTTAAATGCTGATTCATTATATAATACTTTTGGACATTGCTAAATTACACATGAATCTTTGTACAATTTCTTTGCAGGGCTGATTGGTCTATTTTATTTCTAAACATTGACCAAAATAGAATTGTTCTTTATCTGTAATTTAGGTATTGTTAAATAAGAATCTAATACTGTCATCTATCTTTCCCTATGTACATTAGTATACCGGGAGAGAACTGGAGAGGACACCTGACCAACATCACCAACAGGTAAATGCAACATTTTATTTAAAAGTGAGCTGTTGTCCTTTGATAAATCTTGAGCTTTTCTTCCCCAGCTATAAAAACAGTGGTATTTTTTTTCCTATATCTTTGTATAAGAAAATATTTTAATCCTTGAGAATATGAATTTTCATTGTGTATGGATGACTTCCCAGATGCCAATTTCCAAATCATTCTTGTGCATGAAGCAAGACCGAAGAGGTAGAGTTGAAAAGGAGTTATGCTGAGCATAGTCGAGACAAAAAAAAAATCAAAAACAAATAAAGAAAAACACAGAGAAAAATAATTTTCAAAAATGCTATTTTACAGCATTGCTTATTTGTTTAATGTTTTAATTAAAGACTAACTTCTTGCTTGGCTTTACAATACTGTGGTTTAACAGGGTTTTTAGTAGAGCAGCTTTGGGGTATAAATTGATGTCATCTCGAAAGCTCTCTGTTACTATTCATACCTTGCAGTAATTTGTACAAATGCAAGGGTTCTCCCTTCACACCTGATTTGAGTGAGGACACAATAAATGATTCTTGCGTTGGTTTTCCATAGGGTTATCTTGGATGCATGTTTCTATCACAGCACAGTTTTCTTAACGTCTGTAGATTCCTATTGTAAAGTTTCCACTCTATATGAAACCTAATTCTGTGTTTTTGTAGCAATTTGGAAACTACAAATGTATTAATGATAAGAATGTTTCCAATAGATTAGGCCTTTTTGGTGATTCACAGTAGTACACTAGGTGGTGGTTGTTAATAACGCACTGCTACTCAAGCAAAAGCACACACAGAAACTGCTGCTTTTGAAGCCCATGAAAGAATGGTGAAACTCCTGCCCTAAGAGTAGGGGTTGTTCGCTGTAGCGTAATGGGTTATTATGTATAAATGTGTGTTACTGTACTGTATCATGATAAATCAACACAGTCTAGACAACCTTTTTCAGCCTTTAAAGTTTTAAAATTCAAAAGTTGCAGAAGCTTGTTTTCTTACTGTATAAGCTGTTACAGACTTAAAGGGACTTAGATCACATCGCATGCTATCACGGGTTATGAATCTGAATGCAGCGGTGGTGAGGTGCTATGTAGCAGTTATTTTGTGATAACAGTATGAATACCTTTTATTTTGAAGTAAACAGCTTTCAAGTAACTTGCCTGGGTAAGCATTCAAATAAAGTTAAAATGGTTTCAAGAAAAGAGAAAGTCTTTTGAAAGAAAGAATCTTTACGTTGTAAGAAAGGATTTTTTTTGTCCTTAGCATAGAGGACAAAGCCCTTTTAAGGTATATCTGAAACGCATGTGGTGATTGTTACTAGACTCGTCTCTGCACTCAGTATAACGGGTGTCCAAAGGAACTATTATTCCCTAAGCTGAGCTTGAAAATTCAGTAGGCTTGTTTATAGGTTGTCCTGATTTTTTTTATAAATACTGTCAGTTATATCTAATATGCTTATAGCCAGGATATTTTCTTCTTTCTCTGAGCTTCTAGTTTCTTTGATCTGTGATAGTCAGAGTCAGAAGCTTGAACCCTCTACAAGCAAACCTTGACATTTGCTGACCAGTTTTACTAGCTTTGAGAGTTACGAAAGTGTTGGTTTTCCAAGATCACCTCCAGAAAGCTGCAGCTTGATTTTTTTTTAAGCCAATTATCACATCTGATTTCATGTTATACATAGGTGCTGTGATACTCTAGCTCTGTCCCTCAAAAAAAGTGGTTTAACAGTCAATGAGTTGTAAGGACAAGAACATATTTTACAGAGATGAAAGCTTTCTGTCTGTGAATTTCTCGGCATGAAATCATAAAATGGTCAGTGAGGTCAGCAATGCAATTAATGCACTCTTGGTTTGTTTTTAGATACTGGTCTAGGCATTAATGTGTACCAGACATCAGTTTTTGGCAGAATTTCACATTTCTGATTGCCATGGTTTAGAAAATTACAATACCTTACCCTTGGTGTCTCCAGGATATCTTTGTGGAGAAAGTCAGAGGAGAACAACTTGTTCCATATGAACACTTGAAGCTCAAAGCCTTTGATGCAGTTCTGAGATTGTGCTTGTGAAAATAAGTTATCGTGTTGGATTTAGAGAAGAAGGTTTATTTCTTCACTTCAAAGTATGTCCAGCTGGGTGAATGTAAGCTTCTAAACAGAGCATGATAGAAAAGAAAAAATGAAGCATCAACAACATATCGTGCATATAAGAGGAGTGTAAGGAGGAGCAAGCAGGGAAAATTTCATGGTTTGGCAGCCAGGAATTATCAAAGACCCATTAAATGTTATTTAATTTATTGCCTGTTGAAC